TTAAGGCTACTAAAGTTTTTCAGTCAAGAGCAGTGAGTGATTTTCTGTCTTTTGTTACTTGATTAACATCAATGCCTAGGACAATAGCAACTAAATTAGGCTGCTGTCCCTTAGTGATGGGAAGTTCGGATCATTTTACCGATTCGGACCTTTGAGTCTCGTTCAGCAAAATGAACGAATCTTTTTTCGAGTCATTTCGTTCATTTTAACAAAATATAATTAAAATGTTACGTGTTACTTCCCTAACATGTCTACTACTTACGCAAACGTTGATCACACTACAAACAATACAAAACTGCTATAAGAAACAGAAAAGATTAATTCATTGTTTACCTGGGTCTTCAGTCCATGATTAGCTCACCTCACCTCTAATCTGACAAGCCTTCGGGTTTGAGTCGCTCATTCATCACGTGACAGCCCCATAAACTTAACCAATGCAGTCTGAGCCGGAAAGAGAATTGATTAGTTCATCTCTCGAGTCTTCGGGTTTGAGTCGTTCGTTCATCACGTGACAGCCCCATACACTTTAACCAATGCAGTCTGAGCAGGAAAGAGAATTGATTAGTTCATCTCTGGAGTCTTTCGAATCATTCGTTCTTTTGTCACGTGACGTGACAGCATTGGATAGAGAAATTAGTTAATTTACAAGCTTCCTTACAAACGGGTGCATAGTTATTATTATTATCATCATCATTATTAATATTATTATTTACTCTTACAGTTACATGATGCGTTTCTGGTCTCAAATTGTAGCTTTTTACTTCTTGCAGTTTATAAATGTGTGAATTTCTGTCATTATGGTTCTTTTCCATAACACTGAATGTTGTAACAAAGGTAACAAAGAGTTGGTTATTATTATTAAGTCTATTTCCGGCTCAGACTGCATTGGTTAAACTTATGGGGCTGTCACGTGATGAACGAACGACTCGAAAAACCCGAAGACTCGAAACAGGTGAACTACTTGACTAATTCCAGTACAGAACCTATAGGATGTTGCGCATGCGCGACTGAACGAATCACTCCCGGAGACGACTCGTTCTTCCCGAGTCACATTAAAGAATCGTTCGTTCAAGAACGACCCAACAGCTCGGACCTGACAGAGAACGCCGAATTTATGCTAACCGAAGTCTTTGGGCTAACGTACAGTAGGCCTGTTTATGGTTATGTTGTTCTGTACAACAGATTGCGCAAATTTTATGTTGCGAAATATAACTGTCGTCGTGAACTGGAAAAGGAAAGATCGTCAAGACAAACTTTCACGTAGACCTGAGAAAATATGAATGCTATGGATGGATGAAGGGATTAATCGATTGGATTGCTTTCTGCAGAGTGATCAAACGTCTCTAACTTTTGAAGTCTCACAATAAACAGAAACTCACTTGATCGTCTTCGTGTTATTATGGTGATTTGAAACAGGGTTTTTTACATTTTTAGATGCCACTGACCCTCAAATATGAACAACCTCATAAGGGACAACTCACAATCCTGAAAGATTTACAAGAACATTTTTTTTCCTGTTCACTGTACTGTACTGTTAGATGTATTATATGTTTGTTTGATGTAGTTATGTTGGTCACTTTATTTAAATTAAATAATTTATCTATCTTATTTTATTTTACATTGCTTTTCTCGAAACTTTTCAACAGTTCCCCTAGAACTCTTCCCTTGTGCATATATGCATTTTAACCTAAATCGAAAAAATCCA